AACAAAGATTAATACAGTTCATTTAAGTATTTGAGAAAGGAAAAATGATCATCTAAGTTCTCTATCTTGACAGAATCACTGGCATCTTGGATAAGTAGTCACGTTAACTGATCCTCCCAAATATAATTCACAACATATTTTTAAAGCATTGCATCCACAAGTCAACGATGCAAAAGACATGTAGGAACCGCTTTAGTCTAATCTAACTATCAATGCAATGCTCAAGCAAACATACGTTGGGTTTCTTCTTTAAAGAAAACGAGAATACAAGATCTCACCATTTTAAGTTTGCGCAGTTCTCTGCGAGCAACTCTTACCCTCCATGCACACTGGGTGGTAACCGCTGCTTTCTTCATTCTCTTGTAATGAATGCGAGCCACGAATCCACAAAAATGACTCTGAAATCAATGCTGAGATTAGACTAAATAAGCCTACACAAAGATGGAAACTTGGTGTACCTGATACCTATACTCCTGTAGAGAAAACTCTACCAAATTTGTATGTACATAACCAATCTATTTTCATTATTTAGTAATATACTACATTAATTCAAAAGGCATGAAAGAAAGGAACAGTTTCGGCATTGTTGCCATTGTTCATTCTCATAAAGTGAGAAAAAAATGAGGCCCCAAAAAGAGGCTCCCATAACATGTTGAAAGGAAGAAGTTTCTTCAGCTAACTGAGATGTATCAAAACTTTTGGAAAGACAACTGAGGTGAATAGAAGTTATCAATAGAAAAAACATATATTATCAGTACATTGGAACCTGGACAGCCAGTACTGGAAATATCAGTATATGGAAACTCAGACAAATAGTACATGGAACCTAGACAATCAGTACATGAAACCTAGACAATCATAATAAACAATTCGACAGGATTAATGAGTAATATGAGTTCTACCTTATAAGACTTTAAAGGTGTACCTTGGTCAAAGAGAACACTCTTTTGAGACAGAGGTAGTGCTTGGTAACTTTATGTAACAAATACAAAACAAAAATTTCTAGAACCATTTTACCTGGATAGTGATGGCTGCTTTTTCTTTTCTTCTATAACTAAGCTCATTACAAGCCGCCATGCCTCGTAGTCCTGTCTGGATGGAAACAACAGAAATGCAAAGCAACTTGTAAGTTTTCTTTGCAAGGAACATACGTCCAAATTTTCCAATCATCAAAGAAGCCATATCTCTCCTCCTCCATTCATAGAAGTCGCGTGCAAGCTGACCTGTGTTCAGATAATGATCAAGTTAAAAGAACTTCTAGACTAATTTAGTTATCACTAGTAAATCAATATTGAGATATAGGTCAGCCAGACCTCTGCATATAGATTGGATTCTAATTGCCGAATCTTGTAACAAAAGAAAAAATTTTCGGGCAAAAAACGAGCGCACATTCCTCTGTATAGTACATGCAGATCTTCCTATGACCTCATTACGCTGTGCAACTAATTCAGCCATCTGACCAGCTCTAAGAAACACTTTGGTTTTGCCAATCTGCACGAAGAAATTAACAGAACTTGCAGCAAGCTTTGTGTTCTAATATACATTACAGTGTTGCTACCCAAATAGTCCACCAGTTACTAGAGTTGTTTGTCTATATTTTGTTAATTCTTTTACACAATACTCCTAAGAGTAATTTTTTAAAGAGTAAATATAGGAGTTAACACAATCTATTAAATATATAAGAAATGTAATGGAATAGAATCAATACAACAAGAAAAAGATACACATCCTAATATACGAGTAAAGATGGGCTTTATAGTGGCACACTATGGTTACCATATATGGTTTCCTACGGACCAAACCCCATGACCCCCCCCCCCCCTCAAGCTTGAACATCTAAATCCTAAAGCTTGAAGTAATACAAACAATGACCTAACATAAAATTACCAACAATAAGCATAAGAGAAGATAACACTATAACAGTACCGAGAAGGCTTCAGAACAAGCAACTATATATAAGAGTAGATGACCCTTAGGGATGAAGATGAAAATGCCAAGGGCCAACCGAAAACAAAGAGCCTACGAAGAGCACAACAGCACACACTCTAACACTAAAAGAAAAGGCTTAGTGAAGGAGAATGATAACATAACGCACTCCTTGAAGAAAAGGGGGGGAACTTGGAACAACCATTAAAATGTATGAGAAGCCTTCACGGTATACCTGTAGTACCGGAAATGCCGAATAAAAATCCTAGAAAAATCAGGTCAGTGCCACTATGCCAGTCAATGATCAACAGTTAAATGTTGGTAAAGGATATGAGAAGTACTGATGGGTTCGTCTATGAGAGACAGTGACACTGGTGCAAGGTTTGGGCCAAGATCTGCTATGAAAAAGGATATTGGGATGTAAATATTTTAAATTGCCGCAGCTTTGTTATATTGGTGGTGTCGAATGGGCTGAACAACCACTGGAGATGTGCCCAAGAGGAAAAGGCAACCCAGGGCCGGCCCAATAGGGGGACAAGGTGTCCGTCCAGGCCGGGCCCAAAAATTTTAGGGGCACAAAAATTATTTTTTAAAGTATTATATATATGTATATAGGCCCAGGCCCAGTACCCATCACTTAGCTTATTACCTCTAGCACTAGCCCAATCCTTCCGTATTCTGTAGACCAAAAACGGAAGAAAAGCTAAAGTGCAACTGTGCAAGTGCCGATCGAAGAAACGCAGCGACCGGAAGAAACAAGAGAGCCGACTGCCCGACTCGCTGCCTCCACCGCCGGACGCCGAGTCGCCGACCTGCACGGCTCCACCCTCCAGGTAATTATTCATAGCCTTCCCTTTCCAATTTTGTAATTTTTATTTCTTAAATCTTAATTTTCTTTCATTGTTTCATTTTTTAGATTTAAAATCTAGGGTTAATTCTTAGTTTTTAATTCAAAATCTTTTCTAATTTCATTCTTTGAAATAGAATGAATGAATGGTTCTATATGTTATTTATTTGATTTGATGAATTGATTTGAATTTGTTATTTATGGTAATTATATATTTATATTAAAAAAACTTAAACCGGAAAAAAATTTAATACTGATAAATTGATGAATTGATATTAATTTATGATTTATAAAAAAATTAAAACTGAAAAAGAAAAAAAATTAAAAAAAGAAAAAATGACGAATTGATATTAATTTATGATATATTTATTTATTTATTTTCTTGCTTTTTTTATTTTTTTATTCTTAATTTTACTTGGTAGAATTTATGAATTTGGATTTTATTTAAATAATTCAATAGCTATGACTCCTAAACAATTTTGTCATTTATTTTTTTCTTCTAATAATATTGCGTTAATAATAATTTAAATATAATTAGTTTACATTTGTGAATTTTTTAGACCATTAAAGATAAGACTTGGGGGCCTTTTTCTATTCCGGCCCAGGCTGATGAATCCTCAGGACCGGCCCTGAGGGAAACACAATGATACTGTTCACAGGGGGGGAGTGGAGTAGCTACATAAAAAAAGAATACAAATTACCTGATAACCTTTGAGGCCAACCTTCTCTAAAATTTTCTTGGAAGCAATGACCTCATCATATCTAAATATTTGGGAAAAGAAAAAAATATGTGATGGTGGAAATAGAAGTAAATATTAATAAGGTAGAAGCCTTGAAGCATTTAAATCTCAATGCATTCAATAGTTGTTAACACAAATACCTGCTACTTTGAACTTCAGGACAAAGGACAGAAAAATGTTTAATGAATTCATCAAATTGTCTCCGAGTGGGAAATCCAGCACAACTAATCCTAATTGCCTCCATAACCCCCTAGAACAACATAAATTCCTTTTGAGCAAGTTGCAAAATGTAAACGTCATTTTACATTAGAGCAAATTAAAGAAGCATACCCCACATCGAAGTTGCTTAAGTACATTTTGATTCTCAAAGATGGCTGGTTTAAGAAGATTATTTGGCTTTACACAACGGATGTAATGAGGCTCTGTGGCACTAATGTTTCAAGCAATGATTGCAGTTGTTGCTGTATAATATACAAGGTCATTACATCTTTTATAAAGATAGGCATGGAGAGTGATATGAAAGAGCCGTAAAAAATAGTCCTAATGTTATCACACACCTCCACATTCACATCCTCGGAATTTAGTCCTAATCTCAAAATTATATCTTCTCAACCTATTGGTTCTCCGGAAATCACCAAAGAAACAATCTGTAAACCATCCCCCTACATGTGATTGTCCTTACCAGTTTATCATTGTTGTCATCGTCCAACTCTTAATGCGGCTCCAAAAGATGATCCCACCGCTTCCCTTACAATGTATTTGGTTCCACAAAAATTGGCTTGTCCATGAATAAAGGGACACTTATGAATTTATGATAGTTTGCTAGTGTCTCTATGAAAAGGTATGCATTCTAATCTTAATTGTGAATTTGTGACAACATGCATTTTTCTTAGTTATCACCATGCTTCCACTATTTATTAGCTCTGTCATCACAGATAATCAGCTTTCATAAATCTCAGCAAAATAACTTAGAGGACCTAAAATAAAATACATTTGCAGCAAGCTTGGTGTATTTATTTTATACACTCCAACTTGAGGGGATGTGTGGAAAATAAGAAAAATAGACAGGATTGTAGATAACGAATGACACCATTGCTTGGGTGATGATGACATCATTGTTTTTAGATATAGATGGGGCTCGGTACATATCAAAGATGAATTGATTCGCTCTCAAACTCTTTGAAGTATTTTCACCTTGTCTCAAGCATGAAAAGACATTATTCTTACTTTCTTATTTGTTGGTAACTTAAAATTATTAAATCATTTAATGAAGTTATGAAAGGAAGTTGAAATTTGTTTAGGTGAACACTAGAACAGGCCAAACTAGTATATTTTAAGAACCGGATTAAATGAATAAATTGCATAATCTAGTACTTGTAATGGAGAATGGTGAAAGCATACCTTAAATCTAGTGCCAATAGAGGAAAACTTTGATGATTTAGAAGATTCTTCATGTTGTTGTAAGAACAAGCCTGAGATAAAAGAGCACCCTGAAGAACTGAGAAGTTCTTGGTGTTCTGCAATGACA